CGAGGTTCGATTGGACCGACCGAGGTCAATGCGAGCTGCCATGGAGTCGGCACGAATGCGAGAGGACCATCTGGTTGCGGTCCGCAAGACGAGCCGAGGGGACGGACGCGTCGAGACACGACGCGCGAGCACGGTCCCCGAGCCACCACCGCAGGTCGAGAACGCGAGAGTTACCGAGGTGGCACGACCACCAAATTACATGCGGCGTCTAAGTCCCGATGAGATGCAAAGGAGGCACGAGAAGGGTTTATGCTTCTCGTGCAATGAGTCGTTCACGCCCGGGCATCGATGCAAAGGTAAAGAGGTTTACCTACTCGATACATGCGAGCCCGAGGAAGAACGCGATGAAGGAGGTCACTTGTACTTAAATCCGCAAATGAAGATGTTGCACATGGTCAAAGCCGAAAAAGGACCTAAGATGATGAGGTTCGAGGCTGAGATTTTGGGACGGAAGGTCGATGTGCTGGTCGACAGTGGGTCGACACTCAACTTCATCAGCTTGGACTTCACCGCACAACTAGAAGTCACAATGACCGGGGTTGTACCATTTGGAGTACGAGTTGCAAACGGCGAAGAACTTTGGAGTTCGGAGCTATACAAAGAAGTGCCTATACAAGTACAAGGAGAAGAGCTCAAGGCAGACTTATTCGCGCTAGAACTCGAAGGACCAGATGTGGTACTTGGGGTCCAACGGTTGGAGACACTAGGGCCCGTAACTGCGAATTTTAAGTAAGGCACTATGGAGTTTAAGCGGGCTAAGAAACGAATCAAGCTATGCACGAGTGACGAAGGAACCGAGCCGGTCGAATTGAAGAGTCTTCAATTCATTCTCCTTGAGGACAAGGTCAAACTCAAAGGGGGATGGAATGATGAGGATGTGGTCATCGACCAATCCGAGCCCGAGGACGAGTCGCGCTTGAGCCATGAGAAGAAGCGCGCGAGAGCCCGGGACAACCACCAAGACCGTGCTAAGAGGGCTCGAAGAGGCTACGAACAGGAGACTTGGGACGACGATGAGAGCGAGAAGATCGTGCCGGGGAAAGTGGGCGAATGGTGTAGAGCATGCGTGAGAGGTCGGCGCAAGCAATGCATAACGGCTAAAGCAAAAGGTGCACGAGGGGAGGATGTAGGGTGGCTAGCATGCACATGGGACGGCAGCGATGAAGTAGGTGCGCGAGCGGGAACAAGCGCGAAATGGCGAGGAGCGGTAGAGGAATGGGTCGACGAGGTCGACAAGGCGAGCAGGCGCAGCACGCGCATATGTGGCAGGCACGCGCTCGAGGTAAAGGGCGAGCGTGAGGGCGGCACTAACCAGGCAGGTGTGCGGGGCACTCGCTGGCTGGGGCACGCGCGAAAGAAGGGGCGCGCGCGTGGCGCGAGAGGGCTCACATGCGGGAAGGGCGGTAACGCGTGAGGCACGTGGAAGTTGGATGGCGTGAGTCCTCGAGGGGCTAGGCAAGGCGCGACGACTGAGGAGAATCCGCGCGACTTGGGGCGCAAGGCAGAAGACGCGTGTGACGCGTGGGATGCAAAAGAAGGCCAAAACCTCGAAGGACAAGGACTAGCCGTGACGGCTAGGGTTTGGTCGAGGCGCGCGGCACAAAGGGACACGCGATCCTTCTAGAAGGCCTAGGGCCGATTATCACTAGCATAATAGGAATAGTAGTTTGGTTAGGAGTCCAAATAAAAGGCATGTGCCTATTAGTATCCTATGAGGAGTTTATTAGTTTGGTAAGTCTTTATTTACTTTCCTTAGGACTTTATTTGTTTACTTGCATTAGGAGTTCTTCTTAGACTAGGATTAGATCTAATTGGTATCTATAAATACCATCCTTATGTCATTCGAAATTATGATTGGAAAAGTAATGGAAAATCGTTCGTGAGAACAAAATCGTGTGTTTAGAATTCGTGAGAGTTTTATAATACAAATTGAGTTGGCAAGGCTAAGACCCGAACCATCTCAAAATCGTGAGAAGATAAGGCTAATAACCGAATCGCCCACACCTATCGTCGAAGGATAAGCAGTGGCAAAGCTTAGTTCGAGACAAACGAGTTGGGAAAATACACGATCCTTCATCACGCAGCCCCAGCGCACGCGACAGCGCCCAACAGCGCCTGTCCGTGCCAGTGAGCGAGGTCTCGGCGTCAGTCGCGTCCAAGCACCTCCGACAGCGCCCGCCAATGTTGTCCCAGCGTTAGTACACGCGTGGCCTCGAGCAATCGCTCGTGCCATGCGGAGTCGACCTCGGGTCGTGCTAGCCGCGCACCTGAGTGTTCAGTGCCGTGTCCAGAGACCTCGGGTCATGCCCAGCAGCACGCCCGAGCACTCAGTTGGCCCGGGACGTGCCCAGCAGCACGCCCGCGTGCCCAGGGTAGCCCGGCAGCGCCCTAACAGCCCCAGCCGCGCCAGAGTCGCGCGAATAGCGTCTATCCGCACCAGTTCTCGCGGAGGCCGGTCGCACCCAGCTCGTGCCTAGCGCCGCGCAAGGGCACCAGCCGACCCTGCGCGGGACCGAGCCCGGCTAGTCCAAGTAGCCCGTGACCACCCGGTCCAGAGTGGACCGGCAGTCCAACCCAGTCTGGTTTAACCCAACCCGGTTCAGCCAGTTAGCGAACCGGCCAGTTTAGCCAGCGGTTCGAGTCAGTTTTGGTTCGTGATTTTCGGTCCGAGTTTTATTCTAAAATTTTAGTATTTTTCCGAGCCAAACCAGTTCAGTTGAGCATATCAGTCTTAATTCCGGACTCAATATTATTTTAGCGAACCCTTAGAGCGTTCCTTTTTACCCGGATGAGTTAACTGATGGAGTAGAGCATCTTAGCATATTATTGAGCATATGACGAGCATAGTACTTAGTATATTTTGTTTGCTTATATTTTTATGTAGCTTGAGGAGTCAGCTACCAGCACAGCAGCACTTACGTATTTTCAAAGCAGATCAGGTGGGGACCCAGTCTGGGTATTACATTGAGTATAATAGTCGAGATCATGTTCAGGTATGTATATGAGTTTATCCGCTTGGGGTCCAAGCCGAGTTTGCCTTCCCTAAGTTCTGGTCGCCTTAAATATACCATCAGAGTGTGCACACGGTTACCAGCCAGAGTGTTCCGGGAGTTACCAGCCATAGTGTTCCGGGAGATTTCAGTTTACTTATATATATCTGTACTGTGATCTCATTATTATTATTGTTGTTTACTTTAGCATGGATTTTTATAGAGTACAAAGGGACCAGTACTCACCCCCACTATGTTTGTTTTCCAGATGACAGGGTCGGCGGGCAGCCGTGAGTCCAACTATGGTGGTTGTGGTCGTGGATTTGGCACAACGAGCCGTTCCTTGGACATTTGTTTAACATGTTTTGTAAAACTATTATGACCACGCATTTTCAGACTTCCGCTACGCTTATTTTCAGTATCGAACATGCATGACAATATTTTCAAACTATAAAGTTTTACCCGGTTCGCCAGTACGAACGGGTTCAGTTTCACATTCGTGATTCGATAAAATATTAATCTGATTTTCTTTTCTCTAAACTAGATGATAGACCTAGTTTAAAGAAAACGGATTTCTAAAACAGATAAGTCTATCCCGAGATAGTTGGCAAACGAATTCGAAAAATTTATTAGCGTTTTCGAAAGTTAAAATTTGCGAAAAATTGGCCCTAAAGTAGCGGGGTGTTGCAATTTTTATTATATAATATATAATTATAAACTATTTCTATAGTATTTTAATATATTTTATTAATTTTATTTAATAAATGATCTATTATTCAAAATGTTTTTATATTATTTTATTATCTTATTTTATTTTTTATTTAATAATTTATTTACTATTTTAATATATATGTGTACCACAATATATAAAAAAATTAATTTTTTATTAACTTTCAATAATTACATATTTGACCCATGGGTTGAATTGAAATATAATTAAAATTATCAAAATTGCACATAGGTCCTTATACACTATCTAATTCTCAAAAAAATTAGCCCAACACCCAATTCCAATTTTAGCCTTTGAAATCGCCGCATCACCTCCTCTCACTCCGGCGATGGCGAGGTTCGAGCTCAGGGAGGCGGCGGAGCATCCGGTGATGGCATTTTTCGAAGATCTCCAACTGCAACCGGAATACATCCTCCCAACGACCGGTGGATAGAGGTCACCGGAGATGATTCGGGGCAGCGACAGAGTTCTGTATTGCGAGAAATTAGAGGTTGGCTGCCGTTTGAAGGTCGCCGGAGACGAAATGAGGTGGCCGGCGAAAGCAGATTTGTCGAAGGAGGTTACAGTAGATGAGGGGCGGCTATGGCGCGGCGCGGCGGCAGGCGGTGATGAATATGGGGCCAACTGTGTGTGTGTGTGAGACTGCCGGCGGCTAGTGTGTGTGTGTGTGTGTGTGTGTGTGTGTTTTATCGCCGACTGTAGGTGTGTGTGTGTGTGTGTCGCGTGGGGTGTGTGTGTGTTCTGTGTGTATAACTGTGTGTGTCACGTGTGTGTTTAATTTTGCGTGTGTAGTGTGTGAGAGATAAGAGTGTGTGGGATATGTGATGTGTAATGGCCATGTGTCATTATATCATTGGATGTAGGTGAATAACAGTTGACATGCATTCCACATGTGATAATTGAAATGTCTAAAATACCCTTAATTAATAAATAAATACTGAATTTTCTGTATTCGTTAGATCGTTTGATCCGATGGTTGTGATGTATTCTTATTTTTTTCACTAAGCACCTTTATCACTAGAACACAACCCTATATATATATATTTAAATAAGGTGGGCCAGTACGCTCCGCCTCGCTCCGCCTTGGCCCATGGCCCGTGCGGCCTGGTCCGTTTCCCAGCGGGCGTAAAAAATCTCGGCCCAACCTGCTCCTTTTGCAGGGCGAGGAGAGCTTTTTTGACGGCTCTAGCCAGGTTCGGGTCTTGTATCCTTGCCCGCCCGACCCGGCCTAGCCTGTCTCGGCCTAGTATATAATGTAAGTTAGAGATTAGGTTTGAGAAATTTCTGTCTCTCGCATATCGCTCTCGCACAGCCACAACCGCACCATCCCTACTCACTCCGTCACTCGGGCCTCTCTCTCACAGTCGCTCTCTCCGGCCGTCCGGCGTCTTGAGCCTCTCGACACAGTACACACTCGCGAAGTCCGACACAGTCTCTTCTTCGCGCCTCGACCGCTCGACTCCTCACCTCCGAAGTCCGACCCAAAAGCTCCGGCCGCTCCTCGCCTTGCCTCGACGACCCGCCTCACCTCCGAGGCTCCGACACAAAGGCTCGACGCCCCACCTCCGCCTCGACTCCCTGCCTTTGACTCGACTCCAATTTCAGATATGGTAATTGGTACATTAAAAAAAAAAGAAAATTGTTCATGCTGAAATTAAGATATTAAGAACTTAAGATGATGTTGAAATTGAAATATATTTCTTGTGATTTGAATTGCTGTGGAATTTGGTATGGCTTAGGAGATATGATGGATTTATGATTAGGAATTAGGATGAATTGCTGTGTTGTTATCTTGAGTTAGGAATTTGGTATGGCTTAAAAGGAAGATTAATTGCTTTGCTGTGTATATGTAATTTCTCAGTTTTTTTTTTTTTCTTCTTTTTTTTCCTGTTGTGAAGCAGCAACCTGCTGAAAGTGTGTTGCTAAATTGCAACAATGGAGCAAAAAACGACAGGTGGTGTTGTTGCCTTAGCCGTGCAACACTATTCTATGGGTGGCTTCATAATCTCACATACTTAAAGAAGCTAATTAGAAATATTACAAATTAGCTGAGATGGGAGAATGCAATAGACATATAGTAGAATCGGTAAACAAATAATAATATCTCCTTCATCTCTATAACCTCGCCTCGGTCAGGGGATAAGATAAACTAGGTAATCCCTTGCAGTTCAGAGGTTACTAGGTTGTTCAATGCTTTTACTTTTCCAGCTATGATTCAATTTGCTAATGCATTTGTTATTATTTTACTTTACTCTGTTTATGGCTTTCCTTTTCCCTCTTGCAATTCGTATTTCTCTTTTGCTTCTTGTAGATCCAATTTCTCAGCATCTTCTTTGTCTTGTCATTTTACTTTCTTTGTGTGAGTAATTGGAAATCAAAATTGGGGCCAGTAAATGAATTCCTCATAGAAATTTAGCTTTCTGTTTTTTCCCAATTCCTATTATTTTGATACTGATGAACTTTGTCTGTAAAAGAATAGATTGTCACAATTGGCTGAAAAACATGTGACCAACTGTTGCTGATATTCCAGTCTGGAATGTGGATTGTGAAAGTAGAATCGCTGATTGGCTCTGCTTCAAAACAGTTATAAATGTGTAAAAGTTATTTTGTACCTTTCTATTTGATTTACTAGAGGTAATTTAGGGTTCTTTGTTATAAAGAGACATGGCGATTATGATTTTTGCTTGGCCATGCATTTGTTGTAATGATTTCCATATATTAGCTGTCTGTGGAAAATGTTTTGTGTTCGAGCTTTGGTTATTCAACACATATTGAATTGCTTCCCAAAACAAACTATGCATAATTTCTTGTGAAGTTTCATTTAAATTCCAACTTTGATACATATCTCATTTATTTCAGGTCGAAAGGCTGAATATGTTGGAACTATATTAGTTTCTGTCATTACAAGCTCACATAAAAGGTCGAAACCCTGAATATCAGATTTCTGCATATTGCAAGTTTTATGATGAACATTTTGCATTCAACTTCACCTTTCATCCCACCTAATCAGTCGGCCCCACTACCGCAACCCTTGGTGAAGTCACCATCTCTTCATACCTTTGTTTGCCGTTCCAAGTCTCACCTATCGATTTCCAGTTCAATTAAATTCCCACATACTTCATCAAAATCCTCACGAGCACTTCAATTCTCTATTGACTCTACAGTTCCTTCTAGTTATCCTGTGACAGATTTTGTAGTCCATTTCGAAGATTTTGTGGAGAAAGATTGGTCATTTCTTGATCCAGACGAAACAAAAGCCGATCAGGAGCATATGAAGAAGATTGACCGAATCATATCTGCCGGAAAAATCGAGGAGACCTCAAGGGTTCTGGTTTCAGTTGGTTCTGAAGCCTTTGTGGATAGAGTGGTTTGCTCATCGCCTTGTGAACAGCTGTTTGTCATTCACGACTCTCTTTTAACTTTGGCTTGCATTAAGGAAAAATACGATGAGGTCAAATGTTGGCAAGGAGAGTTGGTAAATCCACCTGAGAAATGGACGAATTTTGATGTCGTGTTTCTTTATTTTCTCCCAGCTTTGCCCTTTGAGCTTGATCAGGTTCTTGCAGCTCTGGCTGGCCGTTGTTTGCCGGGTAAAAAAATGAAACAAAGAATTTTATGGTATTCTCAACTTTCTTAAGGTTTGCAACATGTAAAAAAGAAAAATATGTAAATTTTGAAAGATGCATTAACTCCTTTATTTTAATTTTCTTATTTCTATTTATAAGGTTAAGACTTACGTGGGCTGTTTGTGTAATTTATAAAATTATCTGCCGTTACTTGCAGCCGTGTACTTAAAGTGGTCTGATTTGTGCAGGCGCAAGAGTTGTGATAAGTCACCAGCAGGGCAGGCAAGTGGCAGAAGATCAACAAAAGCAATATCCAGACATAGTGGTTTCGAGTCTGCCAGAGAAAATGACTTTACACAACGCTGCAGCTAAGCGTTCATTTGAAGTGGTTGAGTTTATGGATGAACCTGATTTTTACCTTGCTGTTTTAAGATATAATGTGGCTTTGGATAAATAGACAATTAGCTACAATGTAGACGGGTTCTCCCTTTGTTAAAATGCAAGCAGACCTCAGTATTCAACGCGACAATGGAATGTCATATTTTTCAAACGATTGATATCTGATCTCGTGTGATTATTTCAGTATTCAGATTTCTTCATAACTTGTTTCACATCTTTATTCTTCTTAACATTAATGCAAAAAGTACATTTTTCTTCCCTTGGCATAATTATTATGATATTTTCCTTTTATCACCATTCGCATGGAAACATGACTTATTAAAATCATGGTTCATGGATTGAAGTCGACGGTTTTATGTAGTCGAAGAAGAAGTCAATTATGGATCGTGAATAAATGGAATTTGTTGTCTGGAATTTTCTATTTCGTGAGGAAGGAAGAACTCATCGAATGAATAAGATTAGAAATGGGGAGTTCCAAAATTTAAAGCCCATTGGGTGCATGTGTGATTTTGTATTTGTTCAATTTGCTTTTAAATTTAATATGTTTTAGTAGGTCAAAGGTTATTTAAACAATTGAGGAATTTACACTCTCCACTTAAACAATTTGAAAATATTATATAATTACATTCCCCATGTAATTATTTGTAAATTAGCTAATTTTGTTAATTTTATTTGCACATATGCCTAAAAAGATGATTCCCAATTTTACATGGTAACTTTCCATCAACTGATTTCCTATTAAATGGTAATTTTCCATCAACTACGTCTCTCTCTTATCCCTCTCTCTCTTCTTCACACACGACCCTATCCCTCTTTTCTTCACACAAGTCCCTCCACCGTCGGCGCCACCACCACCTCACCGTCCGCGCCAATAGCATCAATCGAATCAGTCGATTCCTCCGATCCCCCTTCCAAGACGAATAGCATCAATCGAACCCGTCGTTTCGACTGAATCAGTCGACTCCTCCAATCCCCCTTCACACAAGTCAGCCACCTCCTCCAATCCCCCTTCCGCCGCCGCATCCGCCTCCATCTTGCTCAAGCACCGTCTCGCTCAAACATCCGCGACGAGAGATGCATCTCGCTCAAATTTGCACTTGTGATTCGTCGATGGGGTACTCTTCAAGATCGTCTTGGCTTTTCGAGGCCGTCGTACTGGTCTCCACGCTCTGCGCCTTCTTCTCTTTCTGCTGCTGCCATTTCTAATATATATTTTTAATTTATTTTTTCTGAGTATATATGCAGTATATATGTAGTATATGTACAGTATATGACCCGTGTCCCTGCCAAAAAATAAGCTTATGTTTAGTATATTAGCAAATTTTTTTGTTGACGAATGTTTGTTTCGGTCGGATTGATTTTCTTCAGTATATTATTAGTCTTTTGGGAGGAATGAGAATTGCTTATTTGTATTATTTTGTTTGTGTTCAGTTGATTTTTTGAGTCTATACTTTGTAGTTTTTTCTTGTTTTTATTGTTCAATGAAAATTGTATGGTTTATTTCCAGTATATTTTTAGTCATGTTTCACTGTTTTAGGAAGACGTTCGATAGTATGTAATAGTTAAAAATTTTCGGTATATTATCAATATCTTTTCGGCATATTTTCTCTTGGCATTAACAGGAAGACGTTCGACGGTATATTATCAGTATATTCTCGGTATATTTTCTCATGACATTAACAGGAAGACGTTCGACGGGTATATGTACAGTATATTTGCAGTATATGTTAAAGCAATATATACAGGCGATGAAGATTTTGTGAAATTTCGTACTCTTTGCCCGATTTCCTGAAATTACGCGCTAGGAACATGGAAGGTTGTTCCACTTACCTTGTAACTGATTTTAGGCATGATTATGAACATGGAAGGTTGTTCCACTTACCTTGTAACCGATTTTAGGCATGATTATAATTAATATTTATCTTTTAGGTATATACACAATTTAATTGGTATGGATAGTAATATTGCAATTATCTAAAAATCAGTAAGTATACATGAAAATTTCCCTAAACAATTTAGGTGGTGATTGTGATTGGTAGGGTTGTTGGATCATAATTTGACTCACTCAAATTTAAATTTAAATTTGATTCAAGTTTAACTCAATTTTACTATCTTTAATATTATCAATATAATTAAATAACACTAACCATCTCTCTCCTACATCACATTAACTCTAATTTACTTTTCATCTACTCACATATTTTTATCTACATATCACTTACATCATCTCTTCTACTTTTATATTGCATCAACTTTAATCATTACATTTTAAATATTATTTAATTATAATTTTTCTCATCCCACTCAACCATTTTTATTCAAAATAACTCACTTTAACTAAAGATCTAATTTTGATCGATTTTTACTGATTTTGACTCCCTACCAATCACCACCTTAGGGCTTGTTTGCCGGCCTAAATAGCCCAGGGATCATTTATTTCATACAATGAGATTAGACTAAATTAATATAAGAATAATGCATTGTACTGTGCAGATAAAATTAGACTCACATTTGTCACAAATGATTGTTAGTTCAGATAAGATAATGTTGAACTTCCCACATCGTTTGTTTNATGCTCATTCAACAACAAAATGTACAAAGATCCAACATATACAAATACATTCGGGCACAACCCGAAAACAAAAGAAAACTCCGAAGGCATAACACCAGAGAGACCCGTACTGACACAATCGTACAGTCTAGACTAAACAAACACACCAAACTTGCTAGAGGCAGCAAACAGATGTTGAAACCTCCAGCAGACTCATACAACCCATTATATCAAAAGCTAACAAAGACTAAGATCACACTGCCACACGTACCAAAAACAAACCTAGCCACTGTACTGAAGCCAGACCTACCTAGACCTGTTTCTGGTTACTTTAGCCTTCGATCCCAACTCCACAAACTCCATCCAATCTTTTATTGCCGCATTAGCTGTACTCAATTCAGACCTCCAACAGTGTTCAAATTGTCACAAATTACGAGTCTTCCAAAGCCACCAGATTATATAAGTTGTCAGTTGGACTCTGGCTTTTGAAGTCTCTGATTTATCCACAGCACATATATTTCCCCACCATTCCCTGAATCTGCATGCCTTAGTTGGTACTCCATCCCAGCTAACCGGAGCATGCTTCCACAATAGTTTTGCTCTTCTACATCTAAAAAACACATGTTCTATAGACCCTTCTTCCTCTCCATAACCATGACACATCACATCAATCATCATTCCTCTATGTCTCAGATTCACATTTACAGGAAAGATCCCACTATCACATTCCTAGACAAAATTTTTAAGTTTACCTTAGATCTTCTGTTTCGAGCCTCTCCTCCTGATCACCTTTTCCCTTGTTGTTGTGTTGCTTCCTTCTGCAAGGTCCATCCTTTGAAGTTTTTTGCACATGAGATAAGAATATAAGCCTGCTACTGAAAATCCCCCCTTGATGCCCAATTTCCATCTCCATTTATCTTCTTGAGTTGTTGTCAGGGTGTTTATCTTCATTATAGCCAAACAATCCTCTGCTGCAAAGACCTCTCTCACCTTTGAATCCAGCCAATGCTCTCGATTTGCAGAGATAAGATCCTGCACTTTGAGATTCCTGCTCCCCTCTTCATCAAGAATCTTTGGCTTTCTGTTCAGTCCAGGTATCCAATTAAAATCATGAACACTAAGTGAAGCTCCATTTTTTACTTCCACCTCCAAACCATCTTCAAAAAGGCCTCTAACTTTCCACTAACTTCTCCATTGCCAAGAAGAACTCTGTGGTAGGTTAGCCTCGAACACTGAAGTTTTTAAGAAATATATGCTTTTGATTACCTTGCTCATCAATAACTCAGGTTGGGTCACCAATCTCCATAGTTGTTTCACCAACATAGAGTCATTAAACAACTCAATATCTTTGAAACCCAAGCCTCCATTTTCATTTGGTGTTGTCAGAAGTTTCCAACTCCTCCAATGAATGCCTTTGGTCTTGGCTCCACCAGAACTTTGCAAACAGGCTTGCTATTTCTATACAAATTCCCACAGGAAGCCTAAAGCATGTCATAACAAAATTTGGTAAAGCACTGAGAACAGCATTAATTAATGTCTCCTTACCTGCTGTTGAAAGATAGGTATTCTTCTAGTTAGCTATTCTCTGTCTAACTTTGTCCACCACATAAGTGAACACTTCTTTCTTGGCTTTACCTATGCCCAGGGGAAGCCCCAGGTATCTAATAGAGCACTGAATTAGGATTCCATTGAACACCTGGCATACCCCTCTTTTTTGTTCTTCTGAAGTGTTCCTACTGAAAAAGATTGAGGACTTAGCCATATTCACTTGTTGCCCTGAATACAGTTTATACTTCTTCAACATATCCATCAATTCCTTTGCATGATGTGGGTCTTTTACAGAAGATGAGTGTATCATCTGCAAACAAGTTAGATAACACCGATCCATTTTTTTCCAATCTGACACCTCTGAACTGGCCTCAGTCCACCTGATATGAGATTAAAGCAGCTAGCAATTCAGACACAATGATAAACAAGTAAGGAGATAATGGGTCTCCTTGTCTCAATCCCCTGATAGCATTGAAATAGCCACATTCCTCACCATTCAATAAAACAGAGAAAGAAGTTGTTGTTACACAAGCCATAATCCACTGAAAAAATTGCAAAGCAAAGCCGATTTTCAACATTGTCTGACTAAGGCATTTCCATTCTATTCGATCATATGCTTTGAGAATATTCAATTTCACTGCCATAAATCGATGCTTTCCTGATCTATTTCTGTTCAGGAAATGGAAAACTTCTTGTGAAATAACAACATTATCACTCAATTGACGTCCTGGAATAAATGCTGCTTGAGTATGCCCAATACAGTGTTGCAAACAAGGTTTCATTCTTTGGGCCAGAATTTTTGAAATCAGTTTATACACCACTCCACATAGACTGATAGCTCTAAATTGACTGAGGTATACTGGATTTTTACATTTAAGGATGAGCGTTATTAAAGTATGATTCCAGTAATTTAACAATCTTCCAGACAAGAAAAAACTCCAAATAGCTTCACGCAGATCGTTTTTCATGATAGGCCAAAAGTGTTGAAAAAAGATTGCTGACATACCATTAGCTCCTGGAGCTTTGATTGGGCTGAGGCTGAAAAGAGCACCCTTGATTTCCTCTATACTCACTGGCAGCAGTAATTCCTCATTCAGCTGAGAAGTTATAGTGGTAGGGATGTTCTGCAACATCTCAGCCCCTTCACTGGAACCTTATGAAGTGAATAATTGCTTGTAAAAGTTGGTGACATGAACTTCAATATCCTCCTTTGTCTCACAGATGGTGTTCTGTTCAGTAACTAATCTTGAAATGGCATTTTGTTTCCTCCTCTGCATCACATAAGCATGAAAGAACTGAGTATTCTGGTCTTCTTCTTGCAGCCAATTCAACCTAGCCTTCTGCTGCCAAAAAATTTTCTCTTAGCAATAAACCTTATCTAGCTCATCCTGTAATTAATCCCACTTCTCCCAATTCATGCTACCAGCTTCCTCCCTCATCTCCTCTAGATCCCACATCGTTTGTTTCACTAGATAACTCATATGACATAATTGTAGATTATCAATTTTTCCCTCAACCATGAATTCCCATTTTTCATTTTCGTCCTTCATTCAGCATTTTTCTATCCAATTTCTTTCCATCCTTTTTTTTTTAAAAAAAAAAATAGCAAATAAATCAAAACAAAGGGTCTAATTTTTCCACTACAGTTTTTCAACAAATGCAAAGTTATATAATTTGAAGATGATCAACTAAAATACCATGAGAAATAAATTTAGAAATTGGAAAAAAAATAACAATTATCCAACACTTTGAAAAAAATGAATGTCGGCCTTAGAACATAATTAATTATTGCACATAATTCACATAAGTTCTAGAGGTTTGAACTTTGCACAAAACAAATTAAATCAAGTGCTCTGATATCACTTGTTGGGGTTCGATGAAGAACGTCGAAGTCATGGATATAGTCTACAAAAATAAGCCTGAATCACAGCGAACTAAAGTTGGGTTTGAAAACTCACGGCTTAAAACTTTTGCAAACTATGAGACATTTCTTATTTCTATTGTTGGAGATTTCCTGAACCTCGTCGGATCGCTCGAACAATAGCTGGGATCGGATAGTCTCGTCAAGCCGGGGATTCGAACGGCTTGGTTGTTCGCGGTCATGCGCGTCGTATGCGGTTGTGGGTTGTGCGGGATACTCGCGAACGAGCTACGTGTGTCGCGTCCGGTGTGTCGCGGTTGGGCGCTGGCATCGCGTTGGTGCGTCGCGGCTAACGCTGGTCAGCACGGGCTGCGTCGCGACTGGCGGGACTCGACGCTCGGCGGCAGTGCACGACGGATGGGCGGTGGACGGCGAGAGTCTCGGGCTACCTCGGGACTTCTACTGTATGATCTTTACACTACTTTGTTTGTCTTGGAGGGCAACTCACAAACTTCTCTCTATCTTGGTGATTTAAAAATCACAATAGAATGCATGTATTTATAGGCTACAACATGCACTCTAAGGAGGTACCAAATAAGGGCTTCCTAAGTATAGAACCAACTGTGTTCCAAGCCCACTATGCTTATACTTGAATGATATATCAGTTCACTAAAGAAATATCTCTGATCTCCCCATTTGGCTCCCAAATTACATTTGAGGCTCCGATAATAATTCCTCGATTTATCTCACAGTGTTTAAGATATAATGTCTGTCAATTGCTTAATTATTGATAATATAATTAACTGACTTATTGTACCAAGACTAGTACTACTCAATGCTTTATTATTATGCCGGAACTTAATCCACTTGCAGGGTTTAACATAATAATTCTTCTTGAGCTCATATTAGGGACATCATTAGGCTATCGCACATGGTGACCGTAAATAATCAAACAACACACACTATACATAGCATCACTACGCAAACACATCAAAGTATTGACTTAGCAGAATGAGTCTCACTTTATAGTGAACCAAAGTAGCAACTATTGTATCCACGTGCCTGTTTATATCTGACGAGTTAATAGTACGCAGTAATTAACCGAGGTCTAGTTTGTTTACCGATCAGTTCCAAACAAACTATCCTCTCTGGGATCCATTCAATACACATAGTGTATTATTGTAACCAATCAGTCAATACAGACTGTACATTTAACACTAAAACCGTTTACGATGGGTTATTCGTTTCCATCTACATTGTGAACTATATTATTTATGTTTTACAAGTAACCAATATGTGATCTTCTGTTCAGCCACGATGAACCACAATATCCAAATGTAAAACATGAGAACATAAGACAATTTATTTAAACATGATTCCTGTTCAAAAGAATCATAAAGTTTATTACGCAAAATACCAAACTTTAAATATACACACTAACACTAGAATGGTCGTCCTCTCGGGATCATTGTACTATAAACACGTGAAGTAGGTTTTCAGCATCTTGAATTCTCAAGTTTCTAAGAATGGAAATCCCTAAAGCAATGAGGCTAGATCGTGGGTCGGGCCAAAATCAACAACCGGAGGAACCAGATGAAAAAAGATAGGGACGACGTCTTGTATGAATTGATCAATCATACGCTGATCAAGGATGAGAAATGTATGTTGTTGATATGAAAAATATAAAATACATTTCTCATCTTTGATCAGCATATGCTCGATCAGTTCATACAAGTCATCGTCCCTATCAATTTTCATCATTTTTTTCTGGTTGTTGATCTCGGTTGAGCCCACGATCCTCCGCCTTGTTGCTTTGGGGATTCTTATTTTTAGAAACTTTGGGAATTCAAAATATTGAAGACCTCCTTCACGCGTTTTTGGTACATCATTCTCGACAGGACGACCTCTTTAGCTCTTAGACGAAAAGTTGATAATTGAGAAGAAACTGGAAAAATGTAAAAACAGGTGCAAGAAGCTGATCTGCGACTAAAATGTGACAGACCCGCGATTGATGGAACTGTTCACACAATTCTCTGCATCTTTACGCACTTCCTCAATAAACTTTTCCTATTTTGTCACATATTTTACCGGATAACTAGATCGCAATTGTTGAATTATCTTAACGATTCTTTCGATTTGTTTATTGCGTAATCTATTTCGCACTTTATCGATTATATCGACTTGTTTGTCGCGTAGTTTATCGCACAATTTTTTTGCAATTTTTAATTTTTTTTCACCTCTCTTTCGCATAGTTGTAGCATAAATATTTTGCACTTTATCAATTATCTTCGTCTATCTATCGCATAGTTTATGTCATAATGATATTGCACTAGCTCGATTATCTTCGTCTGTCTGTCGCGTAATTTTTCGCACAATGAGATCTCACTTGCTCGATTATCTTTGCATGTATGTAGCATAGTTGACTGCATAAGTAATTAAAACTTGCTCAATTAACTTCTCTTGTTTGTTGCATGCTTTATCGCCTAATTTGTTTCGCACTTTAATCAATGAACTTCGCTTGTGTGTTGCATATCATATCGTATAAATATTTTGCACTTTATAAATTATATTCGTCTTTCTGTCGCATAGTTTATCACATAATATTTTCGCACTTTATCAATTTTCTTCGCTTGTCTCTCATAGTTTATCATATAATATTGTCGAACTTATCTATTATCATCGCTTGTCTATCACATAGGTTATCGCATAATTATTTAACACTTTAATGATTATCTTCGCCTGTCTGTCGCATAGCTTTTTGCATCAATTATCTTCGTTTGTTTGTC